AATAGTTCTAATAGTATTTTTTTTCCACTATTGATTGATGCATATTATGAGTTGTAAAGAATTAACAAATAGAGTTTCAAAATGTAAGAAATGGTATGAGGATCAACATTATTATTTCTTTTTTTTTTTTTTTTTTTTTATTTTTTTTTTTTTTTTTTTTTATTTTTTTTTTTTTTTTTTAACATTATTATTTCTTGTAGAATACACTAGCTACAAGGATTTCCAGTTAAATTGTTTTACACATAATAATATCCAAGTTTTTGACCAAAATAATATATTCCCTTGGTTCCTAATTAATCCAAGTTTTTTTAAAAAAAAATTGTTTCAAGAAGATAAATTTTTTAAGTTTTCTATGCATTTTTTATTAGTTAATGATAATGAATTGTAAACTTTAAGAAAAATAAATGAATAGTATTGGGTTAGTGTTCTAGAAATTTGTTAATTATAAAAATTTGCATTTATAATCAAATTTTAATTTATTTTTTCTAATATATGTGAAAAAACATAAAACTTGGATTAGTTATGAACAGATGGAGTAATAATAATCATAACCTAGTTATTAGAAGTTTTGAATATTTGGTCTATATATAATAATAATAATAATAATAATAATAATAATAATAATAATAATAATAATAATAATAATAATAATAATAATAATAATAATACGTATATGATCAACCAATGTCACGCTTCATTTCTTCTATGATATTCTTGTATACTATTTTTTCTATTTTTTCGTCAACTACAAATTTTATAGTTTAAAACTTCAATTTAAATTGGTTTTGATTGAAAAAGGTATAATATTATTTGTTTTTCCTCTGGATATTATGGTGTATAAATAAAATGATAACATGAGGTTTGAAAAGGATTAAGCAAAACCCTCTCCACTTAAAGAGTGGAAAGGCACCACATAAGATTTGACATATGAATTAATCTATTGAAAAATGTTAAAGAATGAAAAATGTTAGTGAGTTCTTTTTTTGTACAAGCCACACGTTATAGCATATACTTGATCCTTCGGTCCAAAGGTTAATATGGTAGTGAATTATTATTATTTTTCAAATTTTTGTCTAAGTAAATGATTGGATATAAATCAAAACTTAAGTTTTTTTCACAAAATACTTGAGTATATTTTCCTAAAATCGTCAAATGAATTAGAAAAGTTTATTATTTGGTTGAAAATTAGTTTACACATATAGAAATATAGTTTTATTGTTTTCGTGAGAAATCTATAACAACTTTATTCAACTTCTCTCATGCGAAAATTAATCTTAATTACAATGAGGACAAAGCCTTTTCTTTTACTAATCCTAAACGTTATGAATGGCAACTGTGGAGCTAGGAACTATTTCACCATTATCGAATGTTCCAATTGCTATACTAATCTCTTTGATAGTACCATAAATATCGTAAATACAAAAAACAGTTTAATTATGAAAATTCATGATACAAAACTACATATATTCACTAAAATTTAGTTTTCTTATCGGTTGACCTTTAATATCTGTCATCCGAGAGTCAATAAATATTGTGAGTGGTTGGTTGGTTTTTCATAGATGAGAATTGTAGACATTTTAATTTTCCAATAATCTTTGAACGGCCTTGTTACCACATGAACATATATGGTCTTCGAAAAAATATTTTTAGTAACCAATTTTTGTTTAACAAGGTTTTCTAAAACTGGAACGTGCGGTTCCCCCTACTTACCATACTTGGCAACCTCAAACCTAGGATTCCATCATACACCACGTTTTGAAGACTTTTAGGTGTAACTGCCTCTACAAAATCGTGTCCCTAGGCAAGAAAACCACCAACTTAACATTATCTCGAGCTAAATCTGTCTCTTCATCGACTATGTATGGGAAAAATAATTTTAAATGTAACATATATAATTGATGAAGAAACAGATAATGACGTGACTTTAAATTTTTACGTTATATCTCCAAAATATTTCATTCATTTTAAATCTCTATAATATTTCACTCACGTTAAACCTTTGAAGTAATAATATTAACATCAACTTAAAATTCCAAATATGTACCACAGCCATTATGAGCCACTAAAAATAAGAATGACAGGGATTTAAATTTATTTTTCTAATAAAAATCTTAATTATAATTGTAATTTTATCATTTATTATAGTTAATGAATCTAAAACCCATTTAAAATGAAAAAAAGAAGTTATCTATCTCATGGCTAAGATTTCTTTGACTTTAAAGTCTTGTCAGATCTTTCATCCTAAAGGAAAAAAGAAAACCTTTCAATCAAGAATTTTCATACTCCACCTTGGTGGCGACAATCTCTACAACAACCGGCGCAAAATTGTTTTTGAGGGGAGACAAAAACTTTTTTTAAAAAAATTATTAAATGTAAAAAATAAGAAAACTACCATAAAAACTATTTGAATCTAGTTTGAAGTTTTCTTACGTTAAGGTTTTAGTTTGGATATTTTAAATTTATAATGCTAGAGAAATCTTATTATACAAAGTTGGGTTTTCAAAGTTTCTAACTCACGTGATCGCGCCACGTGTCAAATCTATCGATTAGATGTTGAAATGTGTCAAAAAAGATTAATTTATTTATTTAAAGAAACAGAAAAACAAAAGAAAAACATATTTACATATACTAATTTATATGTATATATCTACAAAATTTTAACTTTTATTTTTCTTAACCAAAAAAAAATAAAACTAACAATTGTATTGGTCAATTTAATTTGGCACATATTCATTTAAAAAATAAATCATTTGGCATGGAAATTAGCTGATAAAAAAATGACTATTGAAGTTCAAAATCACAATACAAGTTATTTAACATTAAGTTAACTGGACAAAAATTATAGTTTATCATTGTAATATAGTATTTTTTATTCACTAAATTATAGCACAAAAAATTTGAAAAAGTAATGAGAATATTAGCATAGTTATACTTATGTTTTATTCTAAAAGTACAAAAAAATTGGAAAATGGCCTATAGGAATGAATTTTCGATTACTTGATGAGAATGTTAATATCTTTTTTTTTTATGTTTTATTTATTAACTTTAGCTCATTTAAAATTAGTTTGACATGAGGTAAAATTAACTTATGAGATTACGCCATATAGTAAAAAGTTATATTTAAACAATGTTTGTTTTCCAGACAATTTTATGGATTTTAATTTTTTGTAATTAATTATAATTTGTTATTTGTAAATTATTGTTAATATTAACTAAGATATAGATTTGATATGATATAGATATTATTATAATATAGGAAATTTAGCACTTATCTATTAAGATGAAGTGTGTAGAATTTTAGAATAAGGGCACTAAAACATGAACAACACAAAAATAAAGTTGTAGAACAACTGAAAAACAAAAATTTATGAAGTTCCTTTTCATATTTTTCTACAATCAGATAAATATTATTATCTGCTTTTCGATAAAACTTTAGTTTTACATTTCATTTTTAATTTTCATACTTTTATATTATTTTAATTTGTGTTCAATGAAATTTTACACATGTTTCTATATTGAGTGTAACCCAATCTGATCTATTATCTTTATATGTTGAGTGTTAAATTAATTATACGCTAAACTAATTAGATTAATCCATGAATTTATCAAGTTTTAATAGGTCGGATCAACATGTAAATTTATTTAGTTTTATAGGTTTAATGGTTATATGTGTCGACATTTGTTTTTTTCAATTTTCTTTTAGCATTAGATTTATGTGATCCTAGAATTTTAAGGTCATTTTAGAAAACGACACAAAAAATATTTTGTAATGCTTTCCTCATGATGTTATAATTCATTTTCTGCATCGTTTGTGTTCTTTCGCTTCATTTATATAGATGTCTGGACAAATAACTTTATTATTGCTTAAAGAAACGATACCAAATTTGTATTTATCATCATATTTTAGATATTTTTTTCTCATTATAAATTTTTAAGTTAAATTTTATTTTGAAATAAATAACCCGTCCACGGACGGGTCCTAATCTAGTACTTTAGAAATTTAAAATGTAAGTGGATATCACTGAAATGTTTTATGAGATTTCCCATATATAAATACTTACTGTTAGGGGAATAGAAGATTCAAGAAAAGTTGTTACGAAAGAAAGAAAACGGAGTCATTCTTATTCATCTTGAGTCAAACATGTACAATAGAAACCTTTTATAGAGTGAGAGAGTTTCGGCTTAGACATTGAACCAACAATGACTACACGGTTTAATATAAACTGGTTTTGAATCAATTCTGTTAATCTAATACTTACATCACTAAAATTTCATCTTATTTTATATATGGGATTTCTCATAAAAATTTAAGTGGATATCACTAAAATTTTTATGAGATATCACTGAAAACTCCTAACATCTTATTTAGTGAAAACATAAATAATACATGATGTATAACTTGCTTTAAAGAAATAAATCTTTAATTAAACGATTTCTGTATAGTATATAAAAAAACCTTACATTTGTTTAGTTAATTAACTCTCACAATATATTATCTACCTCAAACTATGGGTCTAATTAAAAATTTACAACTTCAAACAATGAATCCTTTTTGATTATTTTGGGCAGTGTAGAATATTCCAATCTACAGTATATGCTGACTAATTTAATATGTTTACACTTTTCACAAAAGCTTTATAAAATTAGAAAATTGTGACCACCATTTCTTTCTTTTTAATTTTTCAAGAAGCAACTTTATAAAAACAAATTTGTCTCTTCTTCTTCGATTTGAAAATTCCTTTTCTTCCACGCATAGTCTCACGCACAGTCGACTTAAAAAATATATAAATTACATTTTATAATCATAAATCTTAGCTTTCTTTTGCCTTTTCGAGTTTTTACCGGCGATTCTCGAAGATGAATCGAACATGGTTTTGTCGTTGCTCTCTCACTCAAGAAAAAAAAAAAAATCAAATGTCTTTATTATTCCAATATATAAAGTAAAGTTTTTATTTTTTGGAGAATTATAAATTAAGCTTGAATCTCCCCTGTAACTGAGGGTGGATACCTTTCTCTCATTCGTTAAAAGCTCTGTTAATTATTTTATTAAAAAAAAGATTAGTTTCTCTTTATGGTATTTAATATTTAATTAATCTCTCGTCATCTCTTTTTGTATCTTTTCTGATTTAATTTCTTATTTACGGATGAATAAGAAGAAGAAGAAGAAAGCTTCAAAAGAAATATAAGAGAGAAGAAGAAAGCTTCAAAATCAGAATTTCTAGGGTTTTTTATTGACCTCTCTTCCCCTGTAAGTTTCTCTTTGACTTTTAACCAATTTCTAGGGTTCTTATAAAATTTGTTTTGTAATCTATTTGTTCTTCAGTAATTTAGTCAACCATCTTTATGTGTTTTCACTTGTTGACTGTTTTTTTAGGGTTTGCAATTTCTAATCCCTAGTTGACTGTTTTAATTTAGTCAAATCTGTCTAATTACTTTGTTAGAACTCGGATTAGCTAAAGAAATTTTTTTTTTTTTCTTTTCTAATTTCCTTGGGGAAGTGAAATTATTCATAAACTATAACCAGTAATCTTATTGATATGGATTCGATTAGAATATTCCGTTAAGGATTTCAATTACTCACAAATCAAATTTGTTAGACTTAGGCCAATATTGAATCTTTTTTTTTTCTGTTCCATCTAAATTTTTTTTTGGATCTTTGTTGTTTCAATCCAAAAAAAAACTGAAATAGAAATCTGAATATGCTTATTCGATTCTGATTTAGTTTCAACGAATGGATTGTCACTGTTTAATTCTGATTTAGTTTTGGGTTAAAAATTTACAGAGAGGGAATGTCAAAAGTGTACTAAAGCCGGGATTTTACAAAGACATGTTGACGCTAGGAGAAGATCATACCGGTAGCATTCGGGCAAGCTCGAGCCTGTGTAGGTCGAAGAAGCTTCGGGTTCATGGCTACGAGATTCCTGATCTAAACATAGAACCTAGTTTGGATTGGGATGGGGAAGAAACAGGGGAGGCCACTCAGGCTCTGAGCAGTACCTGTTTGAGATCTCAGGATGCAGATTATTGTTTACTAAATGTTCCTCAGCTCGTTTACGAGCTAGAGGTCGAGATACTTGCACGCGTGCCGCGTTTCGAGTATTGGAAACTAAAGTTACTTAATAAAGGGTTTTCGAGTTTGCTAAAGAGCGATGAGATTTTCAAGGTGAGACGAGAACGGGGTGTAGTTGAACCGTCTGTCTTTATGCTGTCGAGCGGTGATACGCGTTGGACGATGTTTGATAAGGGCTTTGAGAATTTTCAGAAGCTTCCGGAACTTCCTTCTGACATATGCTTCCTCCATGGAGATAAAGAGTCGCTTTGCGCAGGAACTCATTTGATTGTCACTGGGAAAGAAGAGAAGAGCATTGCGCTATGGCGGTATGAGCTGGAGACAAGTAAATGGTTCAAAGGTCCTGCAATGATCACACCGCGGATCTTGTTTGCTTCCGCTACATGTGGGACTGTTGTGTTTGTAGCTGGTGGGTTGAAAATTGAAGGAAACGGGACCATGGAAGTTGTGGACAGCGTCGAGAAGTATGACTCTACGACCAAAACGTGGACACTTCTCCATGGAATGCATAAGCGGCGGAAATTTTGCTCTGGATGTTACTTGCGTGGTAAGTTTTACGTTCTTGGAGGCCGGGATGAGAATGGTCAAAACCTAACTTGCGGAGAAAGTTATGATGAGAAGACAGACACATGGGAGCTAATACCGGACATTCTCAAAAACATGTCTTTCTCTTCGGTCCAATCTCCACCGCTCATCGCAGTGGTTGGGGATGATCTTTACTCATTGGAAACCTCGGCAAACGAGCTCCGCGTTTATGATGCAAACGCAAACTCTTGGAAGAAGCTTGGAGATGTGCCTGTGAGAGCTAAGTCTAATGGAGGATGGGGAGTAGCGTTTAAGTCGCTTGGAGACAAGCTTCTTGTGATTGGAGCATCATCGGGTCCGTCTAGGTCCGAGACGATGTCGGTTTACACGTGTTGTCCGTGCGCTGATCCGGAGAACAAGCTGTATTGGGAGGAGTCTAAACGCTGTTGTGGCGTTAGGCTCAACCATTTTATCCTAAACTGTTGTGTAATGATTGCTTAAGGGTCTTCTGTAAGAGCAAAACTGTGCTATATAACTTGTGTTTTTGTGTGTGTGATTGAATAAAACGCTGTGGCGTCTCAGACGCTGAAACTCTAATCGCTATTGTGGGTTATCTTCTGATTCAGCTTTTGCATCTTGAGTTTTTGGTGAACGCTGGTGATTGCTCATTTGTGATATATCTATCTTAAACTTTTGTAAGATTGTGTTAAAAATAAAAAAGGTTATTTATATCTGAATAATTCGAAACAATATGATCTTGATCTAAGTCGGATGAGCTTGTTTCAAATTCGGTTAATTAGAATGGTTTATATATCGAAAACTTATTATTATTATCGAAAACTTGGCAGTTATTAGTTCATGAATTTTTAGTTAATTTATTGATTTAGAATTTAGTGATTTAAAATCATATTTAAATTTTAAAATAACAAATTTTACTCTTAAATTTAGTTTTTGTATTTCTCACTTCATATCCGGTAAAACTCCATAATAAAATATTAAACGAAACTCAAATAAGATTTTTTCTTTCTTTGGTTTTTGTTTTTGATGGGTTAATCTCTCAAAAACTAATTTTCTAGTTTTTAGGGAAATTAGTTTCTAAAATCTTGAGAGGCTAAAGAAAGTAAGAAACATTTTTCAGAATCTACAACTAAAAAACTACCTCAAAAGCTTACTTGATTTTAATTTAAGAAAATAGAGCTCAAAACTGAGCTGATAAGCACGAATACAGGAGGAAAAATATATTTTTTGGAAAAAGGCAGAAAAATATGATATTTATCTAAAACCAAAACTCTTCGTGAAGATGGAGCATTTTACATTATCATTCGCTGGGTAATTTTCTCAAGTATTTCCAGTTTTGTGATGCATAATACTTCTACTAGTAATCTGCGATTGTGTTGTTTCTGTTCGATTGTAGTGTGAGCCGTAAGATTTGATGTAACAAAGCAAGTCTACATAATTGTAACAAAACATATTTTTACAATATATTTGCAAAATAAATCACTATATATACCTAAAAATATGAATTTTATATCCAAATATTGAGAAAGTTTATCTTCTTCAAAGTTGTGGTGATGGAACAAAAAAAACAAATGCTAAAAGTTAAGAAAATAAGAATAACAAAAAACAAATTAAGAAGACGTAATCCAATATATATGGAGAGTCTTCTGTCAGATAATAGATATATTTTATTTCTTAAAACACAAAACTAAATTTTAATTTTTACAAGAATTTAGGGATACTGTGAACTAAATTTTGGGACAACTAATCCAAATTTTACGAAAATGAGTGATTAAAAATAGATTTTCATATTGATATACATAAAAAAAAAATCAAAATATGTTTTTTCTTTTTTAAGAGACAAAATTTTAGAACTCCAAATTACAGACCATAACGGGCCGGCTATGGCCCATTAAGTATCTGATTTCTAACTAAACTACACGCTGTTTTCTATCTACACTATTACACTGCATGACGTTTTACGCGTCAAGCTAGTGAGAGAGTAAAGGCATGTGTGGGTCGGTGGTTTCAGATACAGAGCGCGAATTTGAATTTCATTTCTGGGGTTTTGGCCATTTGGGGAAGAAGAAGAGAGGGTAATAATGGCGGGAAAGCGTTCGTCGCCGTTCTCTTCTCCGTTGCTGAGACCACCACCACCGGAGCTTCTGAATGTGAAGGAGGAAGGAGAAACGGAGACGTCGTGCTGGAGAAAGGAGGTGGACGAGAACTTGAAGCGTCTCCAATCGTTACTCTTTGGCGCCGACCAATTCCTGGAGAAATCTGATTTTTCTTCTGCTCAGATCCTTGGGCTTCGTCTTCTAGGTTTCCTCGATTCTCGCTCCGTTACTGATGCCGATCGTGATTTCATTGGTCCCATTCGCCGAGAAGTTGCTTCTAAGGTCGATTTAGCTTTGGAAGGACTCGTTACAGATTCGGATCGGTACCTGAGCAATTTCCCTTTTAAACCTGTTTAATTTCGACGTATATTGGTTTGAATTTTACTTGCTGAGCTTAGTCGAGTCTTATGAGTGTGGCTTGAATTGTTGGGTATTGGAATCTGAATTGTGCATGAATTGGAGAAATCTGGGTAACCTTGAAACTGAAGAGTGGAATCCAAAGTTCTTTTGAAGCTCAGTTATCGTCAATATTGGCTACACTTGAGATTTTTGGAGTACCCTTTTATATTGTGCTACTTGTTGTATCCAGGAAAGCGTTTGAGCTTGCAAATACAGCTCCAGGACCTATTTTTGGCAGCAGAGGTGGATTTGATGTGGAGAAGATTAAGCAGTCAAAACACTTTGGTTATCATCTCAGTCAATTTAACGGAAAGGGTGTTAAAGAGATGGTAATGCTCTTGTAAACAGCTTCATTTCTTGAATGATCTTAGTATTGGTGATGATTTTTGGAAACACAGCCATGTTATATGTTCTTGCTTTCTAGTTCAACTATGATTTCTGTAAGCATTACTATGATGTTTTATCTAAGAATCACCTACTCTTCAACATAGATGTTTTCTTGTTTCAGGAAGAACGACATGATACAGATAAGTTGATTCCCAAAGCACCAAAGTCAATGATGCAAGCCAAACTGACATCATTGTATGGAAACAGCATTGGTAAACAAGATAATCAGCGCAAAACTTCCGTGAACAATCAAGACCGTGCCTCTGATGAATGTGTCATTGTCGAGAGAAGTCATGGATTTGGTTTTGGAACAAAGCGAACTCATGCAGAAACTAGCAGCCTCGCAAATGATGGGGAAATAAAGGCAGATGGAGCTCCTAATGGATTTGTATCCGCCAAAATAAAAATGGTAGATTTATCCATGACAATTACTTCTCTTAGAGTCATCTTGACTTTGCAGAGTCTTATCTTTCGAACTGTGCTTTATTACCCTTTGCTAATGTTGACTACTATATCTCTTGCTTTAGGAAATGGATGTAAGACAAAGACGAGGATCAACCGAGTCACCAAGTTCTTGTCTTTCTCCACATAGTGAAAAAAATGCTTTGGGTAGGGGCTATGGTTCAAGATCGGGTGGGTTAAGACGTGGATACCGTGGTAATTTTGTGCCTCCTGTTAAATCTAATGGGAATAATGTTGGAAACTTGACATCTCGTATTGGTGGAAAGACTGACGATGCACTGGATGAGTCAACCAGAACATGGTTAGTTGCGTAACTTCTTAAATTTTTGATTCAACATGCTTAGCAAAATTGAAAGCACATGCACCCTTTTGATATCCTCACCTTCGACAATTAATAAGCTTATTTAATCTGTTTTTCTCTTCACTATTTCTTGATTTTCACCTAGATAGGCTATGCCTGTCTCTGCCCTTCTCTAACTAAGTTTCTATATTTAACATTTTTTATACTTATTTCACATTGAAACACTGAAAAGTAAATAAACAATAGTACATGCATGTCAATAGGACTAGAAAATTAATTCATAAGTTTACACCATTCCTGATCGCATGTTTGTGTTTCAACTCTACTGAGGTGTAGTGTTTAGTTGCATGTACACTTATCAATTCAGATTCTGTGTATAAGCAATTCCTGACGCCATCTTTGTAAATTTAAGCGTCGACACTCATCTGATGGTTAGGCCCTCGTTCTTGTCTAGAATGCTACTTCACATAAGTTTCTAAATATCCAGTAGCCTTCTACGTCTGAAGCCTGAAAAGATTAATTTATATTATGAGATAACATGCATGCCCATTTACTTATTATCCTGTTCTAGTTTGGAGATGCTCTGTGGTCCTGATGGTGAGCTTCCCGAGAAGTTGAGAAATTTGGAACCTCGTCTTATAGAGCATGTCAGCAACGAGATTATGGATCGAGACCCCAATGTCCGCTGGGATGATATTGGTACAGTAGTATGTTTCAATGCAGTGTATATTATAATCCCTGTTGCATCTGGAGTTTCTCATCATAAGTTATTGGTGTGCAGCTGGTCTGGAGCATGCTAAAAAGTGTGTAACTGAGATGGTCATTTGGCCATTGCTGCGTCCTGACATTTTCAAAGGTTGTCGTTCACCTGGAAAAGGACTTCTTCTCTTTGGCCCACCAGTAGGTACCCTTGTCCATTTTGATATTGAAGATGAAATGTCACCATGTCTGTGTTTCTTAGATCTGTATCTACTGCATTCTAGGGAACTGGTAAAACGATGATTGGAAAAGCTATAGCTGGAGAAGCAAAAGCAACATTTTTCTATATATCAGCCAGTTCATTGACAAGCAAATGGGTTAGTTCCATATCTTTGCTCACTTTTACAGGTCTGTTCGTAAATTTAGGACAGTGATTTTGTTCCACTATGACAGAACTTCGACCTAGCAGGGAAACCCCTATCTTCTTCCAGATCAAGATGTCTATTGCATGCTTCTTCATTTGCTTATGGTTAACCTGCAAATTGTACGTTCAAACGACTGTAAATGCAGATTGGCGAAGGTGAAAAGCTAGTGAGGGCCCTTTTTGGAGTTGCGAGTTGCCGCCAGCCCGCTGTGATATTTGTGGATGAAATAGATTCTCTACTATCTCAGGTTTGTCGTAATCTCTTAATACTTTAAATAAGAAACCCCAAAATCTATCAATGAATAAAGTGGCATGGAATATACTGTACTACAAAGGGTGCTTCACTTAAAGATAATTCTGGCGTGTTCCAGCATTTTCGGTTTCCTTAATGTAATATTCTGCTAAAAGAAACAAACTTTCACCCTTTGCCACAGCGTAAGTCAGATGGTGAACATGAATCTAGTAGAAGACTCAAGACACAATTCCTGATTGAAATGGAAGGTTTCGACAGTGGCAGCGAGCAAATTCTCCTTATAGGTAAAAAAATGGGAACAGTCAGGGTTGAGTTTTGTGGGGTTTAGTAACTTCATGCTGCTAATTGTTTTTTTTCTTGGTTAGGAGCAACAAATAGACCCCAAGAGCTCGATGAAGCAGCAAGAAGACGACTAACCAAGAGACTCTACATTCCTCTTCCTTCATCTGGTAAAGAATGATAAGCACACTTTTTCATGTCATTCTTTGGTTTTCGTCGAATATACTGTCTTGACATGATTTCCTTTTCGAATTAAAGAAGCAAGAGCATGGATTATACAGAATCTCCTAAAGAAAGATGGGTTGTTTACACTGTCGGATGATGATATGAACATCATATGCAACCTAACGGAAGGTAAAGGAACTTCAGAAACAAAATAAAATTGCTGGCAAATCTGTGGAGTCTCGATCTTTAAAGTCCGAAGAACACAACCCAAAATTGCAAATACACATTTTGCGGCCACAACCAAGCTAGCTTTTCATTTATTTTCACTGCAGGGTACTCGGGATCAGATATGAAGAACCTGGTGAAAGATGCAACTATGGGTCCATTAAGAGAAGCTCTCAAACGAGGGATAGATATAACTAACCTGACCAAAGATGACATGCGTCTAGTAACTCTTCAGGTACATAAAATCAAAATGAAGATTTTTTGTGGTATTATCATGTTTTGGGTAAATTTAAATTGATGTCATGCTAACTCTGTGAATACACATGTAAGCTAAAAGAAATCTTCTTTTTTCTGTCATTATTTCATATATTTGGTCATTATGCAGGATTTTAAAGACGCATTGCAAGAAGTAAGGCCTTCTGTTTCTCAGAACGAACTCGGAATCTACGAAAATTGGAACAATCAGTTTGGTAGTTTAAGCCTATAAGACTGAGATCGGTGAGTTATACAAACAATATATCATATATTATCTTTGAGCTAAGGCTCTTTGGTTTTCTAGAATATACATACATTTGCGTTTATCTATCACAGTTATAAGATATACAACAATGCCACTATACATATACAAGAGTTTTACAGTACCTAAGAGTCCGTCTCTAGATTCTTCTTTGCTCCTTCTGTATTGTTCCTGTCTAAGAATTAAAGAGAAACCTTAAAACGACTCACAAAAGCAAAAATTCAGGTTCATATACAAATGTGCTTATATGAAACGTACCTATACATGTTTGCTTCAAATATTTAACAACATCACTAAACCTTCTGCACTGTGCTTATTCGATTTGCCTGTTTCAGGAGACTTCTGTACTCAAGACTCCTGGACCATTCATCGATCTCACGTGCACGAAGAACCGGCAATGGATGTGAAAGTTGACTAGTCTGAGCATTTCTGTAAAAAAGGAAATTATGTAAACACACAAGAAGTGACTCTGAAGATAGAAAAATCTAAATTTTCAACGCCATTTTTTGAATTTTCTCTCACCTTATGTACCATCCCAAGGGGCTTGAAGAAGCTTTGTCATATGAACGGGCTTGTTCTAGAAATGCATCAACATTTAGCTGATCGGCAATTGATGGACATCCTCCGGCTAATTTCATCAGGACGGATACAACAACCTCTTGGAAGCGCCATAACAAAAATTATAAGAACAATAACAGAAACATCACTAGGTATATTTACGAATTAATTACGGATTTTGCCCTTTTTTGAATAGTTTGTGGATTTTGCCCTTTTTTAGGCTCCAAAAATATGATTTAACATGCGTTTCATTCGTTATGTTTGGGTTTAGTCGGTTCCATTTGTTCTTAGGGTTTAGTATTTGGTATAATGTACGTATTTTTGCAAAAAAAAATCATAAATACGTACATTTTTAAGTGTTAAAAAGGGGCAAAATCCATAAACTATTCAAAAAAGGACAAAATCCATAAATGCCATTATAAAAAAGGGCAAAATCCGTAATAATCCCTATATTTACATCTAACTTGAAGCATTCTGTGTGTTCTCTTCGATTGTGTTTAGAATTGCTACCTTTGGATCTTGGGCGACCAGAAGTGCTGCACGATCACAAGTCAGCTCTGCTGAACGCAGCCAACGAAGTAATTGTTCTTCCAAAGTCCGAGCTATCATTTGCCCAAAAGCTACAAATAACAGAATTCAATTTAGTAACAATAACATTCTTAACAAAGTTTCACGCCGGCTGCAAACTGAACCTTATGTGAGTCTATAAATAGATTTCCGGGATGAAGTCACTATAATTTTGTCAGACCGACACAGAACAGTAGATACAAGCGATTTGCAACTGGAGAAGAGTGTGGTACCTACCAGGAACTGTATAAGCACCAAGAGTAAGAATGTTTGCAAATGTGAGCCACACGCCATGATCACACTTCAAATGGCCTAGTTCATGCGCCAAGACAGCCTAGTTTTGAGGTAAAACAGTCAGATTTTGGTACAATAAGCTGATATGTGACACACTTCAAACATGTGCTTCTCAATAAAAAAAAGCAAAGAACTTGTAATGTAGACAAGAGTATGAACCTGTAGCTCAGCGCGAGTAAGAAGCTCAATCAAGCTGGTATGGACAACAATAAACGGCTTCTTACCGCTTATTGCCAGTGTATACGCATTAGGAACAGGACTTTGTCGCACATAGAGATCAGGAGCCTCTATGTTCAAAATCTCAGCAGCCTCAACCAACAAACCGTGAAGATCAGAGAGCTGGGACAGTAAAATACAACAAACATTATATCACATTTATCTAATGTCTACAAAGACATTGATCCACATCCACTAACCTGATTCTTGGAAACAAGAACAGAAGTCCCAATGTTCTCAAGAAGCATAATCTGTTCCGTCATTGACCCTACAACATTCCCCAAGTCGATAAATCACATAATCTGTTTCAAAATCTTTCTTTGTGCCAAGTAACAAGAAAACACTTCACCTAAAAGAGCTTTGCCGAATTCGTTCAACCCCGGTATCGCCCTTAGTAACAATGTGTTCTGCATCAAAAGACATTGCATTCAAACTTTGAAATTCCATCAACCAGATTACCAAATGATGATTGTGAAGAACAAACACAAAGAACACAGTGACTCACACAATACTAACCACAAATTCAAATCACATCATCTAAGTCCTAAAGTTTCAAATTACGATAATTTAGAGAATTTATAACGACCTGCTTATCTAAAGGATGACGGAAATCATCAGCATCGAGATCTTTGAACAAGAGAGGAGGCACAGCTCTGCAAATCGGAACCCTAACCCTAAATCTTCCAACTTTCTCAGCACCGAAACCGATATAACTCACTGAACGGCGACTAGAGCTAAATCCCACTTTCTTCGGTAGTCTATATCCCAAACGACGAGACAATTCACCGCTCTGATTGTAACAGAGGGACAAAACCGGAGCTGAGACTGAGACCGCCATGAGAGAAGAGAGGTGCGTAAGTTAATAGTTGTGTGCTATTCTACGCCGGTGAAGAAGAGAGGATAGAATAATTTATATTTTGGGTTCTCTGCGGTTGCGTTTCGGAGACGGAAAGCGTTTGCTGTCCACAACCGTAGTTTAATGGTTGAGCATTTGACGCGCATTCGTTTTCCCGTTGACCGTTAACTTTTCACTCTACATCTACACATCTATCTTATACGGCGTCGGTTTAGTTAAGAGTATTAGAGAAGAATCTAATGCTTTGGATGTTATACTTTTAAACTTGAACATTTAATATTTAGAAGATAAAAATAAATTTTTTGATTATAAATAACAAAGATTATATATAAATTTCCATACATATATGATATATATAAATTCAAATTTATGAATAGTGACATCAAGTGTTGTATTTGAATAGCCTATACGATTATTGAAATGAAATTATGCATATTCAAAATTTAAAATGTTGTTTTGTCTATTTTTATAAAAATTGATCGACGACACAACAATCCTATACTATTATTTGGGGAGTACACTTTATAAGATACCCTTAACTAACCTTCCCTTTTGTAAGAATTTACTTAAGAATGCCATTACAAAAATCTTCTTTTAGAATAAATTTCATTCAATTTATTAAGGATAAACAAGTAAAATACTAATTTATGTCCTTTAATTAATTTAATTAAATTATAAAACGAAAATCTGTTATATATATATTTTTTTAAAATGACCAATCAAAATGAACATATAAGATTTGATATCTAACTTACCATATTAATTTGTTATTAATCATTAAACTTCACCTCTCATCTTTATATGATTATATTAATATGAAACAAATAAATCATCATATCATCTACATAATAAAAAAAAAAGTAATTTTTTTTCTGCATATGCCAAGATTTGAATTTTTAAAAACGCATATAAATTGTTCAATCTATAAAGGAAACAATTAAACGGGTCAAAAATTCAAACTTGAGTAATATATTTCTTTTACACAAAAATAAAGTCAACAAAATTTCGACTGAGCAACGGGTCAGAATTTGAATATTTATATTCGATTTCATACATTTATTTTTTGAAATGTATAATTTTATATACTACGATAAAAATTTAAATATTTTAATTTGCAACATTTAAAATAAGTTTTACTTGATATTTTTAGAGAATATCATCAATACTTAATAGTTCAAAAAGTTAAAAATTATAAATACTCTAATTTGATTATTTTTAAAAATATTTATAATAGGTAGCGGGTTAAATATAATATATTATATGATGAAATGAGTTTTGATCCTTATAACTATTTGAATAGTTATATTTAATTTCATATAATTTGTTTTTTGAAATTCATAATTTTATAAACTACAAAAAAAATTAAAGATTTTAATTTGGAATATTTAAAAATAGTGTAGAACATTTAAATATGGTTTGACACCTCTAAATATTTGAAAATTTGATTCCGCAAGCAGTTTTAGAATTAACGAATAATAGATTGTGCACCCAATATTTTTAAATGAAATATTGAGATTCTAAAATAAAAATATAGACTCCACGCACGGATTGATTTTGGTATTATTATATACTAAATATATGTTTATAACATATTTGATTATGCGAATAATTGGTAAATTTCGTAATTATAAATCTCAAACAAATTCTGTAATTAGATTAGCTCAAACAAATCTCTATTTCAACAACCAAAGAATTATAAATTGAAAAAGAATTTTTTAAATTAATTCAAAATAATAACTAATTTTCTTAATTAATTCAAAATAATCTATGTTTTATATGCGATTCATTTATGATATTTTAATTTTTGATCTAACTGAAATATATGCAATCCTATTTTGTGGTTGTTAACATAAATTAACTCATTGTTCAAAAAATATTACTTTTTAAAAAATAAAATTATTTTCCGTTTTCATATCTTAAAAAAAAAATTATCCATAATTGAGTATTATAGAAAAAAATCTATATTTATTCTAATATTGTATATAGGGACTGACAAAAAAATTAAAATTTTTTCACTTACTATTATAATATATTAAAACTTAGTTCTAATATATATATTATATAAATTTTGTAATAAATAAAATTCAACCTGTACTTTAGTACGGGTGATGATCTAGTAAGATAGTTTAAAAACACAACATAACATTTTTTTTATATATAAGAACTTCGATAATCTCAACATATAATTAATAACTATGAAAGTAAAACATAGAAAACTACGTTAACATACTAAATCTAGTTTTCACACTTGACTTTTATTTCTCTACACCATAAAAATTCTAACTGAAAATATAAAGTTCAAACCAATTTATATATTTTGAATTTCCTCAAATCATTTTCAAATATATTTTTAGAAATCACTTTATAATGATGTTTTTTTCAAAGGTTTACAAGACATATTAATCTTCATGAGAACTAAAATGTTTTAAAAGAATAACTAATTTATATAAATTTGTTATATACAATTAATTTAAAAGTAGTTAAAGTGAAAAATATATTATAAGCAACCTTCAAAAAAAAAATAT